GACAAGATCACACATATACACAATATGCATATAAACACACACATGTATACACCTATATATATACACATACACATACACTCATATACGTATACACATGCACACATCCGCATATATATACATAAACACACACAAATATACACACACATATACATACATACATACACACAAATATGCATATAGACAAGCACACACATATACACAATATGCATATATACACACACATGTATACACCTATATATATACACATACACAAATATATACACACACACACAAAACACATATACACAGACTAGGCCACAGCAACGAGTGGTAGTGGACGGCTAGTGTATTTAAAAACACAAAGTTAAAAACTTGGCATACTAAATTCCTTTGACCACTTAGCGTGCCTCTGGTGTCTCTGTGAGAAGGTCCTCCATTGTGTATATGGCAGGGCTCAGGTTGCATTGTAGTAAGTGGTCTGTGGTTTGCTCTTCTCCACACTCGTATGTTGCGGACTTCACTTTGTGGCCCCATTTTTCAAGGTTGGCTCTGCATCTTGTGGTGCCAGAGGGCAGTCTGTTCAACGCCTTCTAAGTCACCCTCCTGTGTGCCCAGGAGGGAGTCTCTTATCTGGGATCAGCCATTGAGGTTACGGGTTTTAGCCTGTCACTTTTGGACTCTCACTTGCTGAGGTGTTTTTGTGAGTATCTCTGTAGATCTTAGGAAGGTATTTCTTGATTTAAGGCATTGGCATGCTATCTGATATCCTAACAGGATAGGCAGAGATGTCACTGCCTTGGTCCCTTCATTATTCTCTGGCAAGTTTTATAAGCCACAACGGGCAGGGGGTCTAGAGCGCTTGTGGTCGCCCTCACCACCCTGCGAGGGAAGAAGAAGAGCCGGGAGGGGGGCCATCCCTACTCTGTGGAATTTCACTTATCGTGGGTGGTCCTGGAACGTAACACCAGCGATAAGTGAGGGAACACTGTATCTAGTTAATAATCGGAGGTGGATTGTGTTTACTGTGTGCTCCGTCGTGTTGATTTGGAGGGCTGGTCAGCATGGCATGTAGTGCTTTGAGACCGGACCCAGGAGCCAAGGTGACACCTGAGGCTCCTTCCCAGAGAGCGACAGGACTAGAAACACTCCGGCGCCACTTTTTGAAAAGGGGGATTTCCACAAGGAATTGTGCATGCATCGTCCAGTGCTGTATTTCCTGGGTGAGGCTGCATGTTACGTGGAAGGTGGGGTGCGTCAGGAACTTTATTTTGCAGGTCATGTGACTTTGTACAAATATACTTAAAATTTGCATACTTTGCTTGCTAAGCGGAGACTTAATTCCGCTGAAATGAGAATGGTGCCCAAGGCTTGTGCTAGAGGCAGGGATGCAACCGAGCCACCTTGGTTGTATTCAGTGTGATCCGTTCATTTGAAATACCCGTTCCGCGATAAGTGAAAATCCGTGAAGTAGGGACACTATATTTATTTTAATATTTATACATTATTTTAGTAGTTATATTCTACTAATGTCAAGGGAAACCTTTTCCTTTACCTTATAAACAATCCTTCAGGGTTAGCCCCGCCACTGAATGGGAAGCCACGAGCACTCGTCCGCCTGCACACGCGCATGTTTTGCAGCACCTGCTACACACACACACTCCAGCCAGCACTGCCTAGCTGTGGGCTCCCGGTGGCAGCTCCTCCTCCTTCCCTCTCTCTTTCTCCTCCTCCCTTTGGCCCCAGGCTCTCCGCCTCTCCTTCGCCAGTCAGAGGGCACAACTTGAGTCCTTCCCAGGGCCATTTGTACAGTGTTCCCTCACTTATCCCTCACTTATCCACCCAGTCAATGCCTCCGGAGACACTTCTAGGGCTGCAGTGGTGCAGTAGGCTGCACTTCGTGACCAGCAGGCCTTCCCCGCTGCGCCTCAGGTCCGGCCTGCACACCAGCCTCCCTTTCTAAGGCCCGTTGGTTGCCAGATTGAACCGCTCGCTGTCCACAACCGCGTAAATAATGTAATATAAATGTTTTACATTAATATTTATTTTAAAAACCGCGAAACAGCGAGTCCATGAAAAGCGAACCACGAAGTAGCGAGAGATTACTGTATATGGTAATTGTTCCAAGCTCAGAACGTGATCGTTGCAGATGTGTTGTTGGTTATTTTTATTTCGTATCAAAAGCATTGCAAAAATTAGTATAAAACCGATAAAAATAGAAGGAGCACTGGTGGCTAAATGTTGAGACTCAATGTCCTGGCACCGTATCTACTGGTTGAAAGACATTATCTGTGCTCTAAGTCACAACACTAAATATCTTTTGACCAAAAACGGGCAACAGCGATGGCATTGTCTGTAGCCTCCAACAATTCTTCCTCTGTGCATGAGGCAGGGCACAGTGGACAGGCATACAGATGCGGAGTTGTCTGTTCTGCTCCGCAGTCACACAAGGTGTGGGATTCTTTTAGGTCGTGCCATTTTGCCAGGTTGTCTTTTGATCTGCCCACTCCACTTCTGGGTCTGTTCAGGGACTTCCAAGTTGCCCATTCTTGGTTTGCCCCTGGAGGAAGACCCTCCATCGTGGGGGGCCATCCAGTTGGGATTTCCTGGTCTAGCTGCCCATAGGGATACCTTTGCTGTTGCTGGGGGGACTCCAAGAGGAGTAGTAGTTCTCATAAAGCTTTTCCTTGATAGGAGTCTGCTGGGAGGAGGCTGGTAGCCATGTAGTTGGTGGCTTTCACAGTGTTCAACCTTATTTCTCTCACATTTAGCAGCAACTTCCCATCGCACATCAGGGGGCCAGGGGGCAATGCCAGCTAGCTTGTAGAGTTTATCAACAGGTGTAGGTTTAAGACATCCTGTGATTATTCTGCATGTTTTATTCAACACTGTGTTCACCTGCTTTGCATGGGCAGACCTATGCCAAACAGGGCAGGTTGAGTAAGAAAATATTACATTAATATTTATTTTTTAAAAAAACATGAAACAGCAAGTCCGTGAAAAGCGAACCACTAAGTAACGAGGGATTACTGTATATGGTAATTGTTCCAAGCTCAGAGCGTGATCATTGCGGGTGGGTTGTTGATGCCAAATCTGTTGGCTGTGTTTCTGCACAGGAATGGCCTCATCACATGGAGCAGAATAGAGCTGCCGCAACGTGCTCTCCTCTAACGCCTTCCCTGTCAAATGGCTCCAGGGCTGGTCTGGAGGAAGGCTGCCACTGAGTTAAACACCAGGCCGAAATCAAGGCAGGCCTCGGGAGTGGAATTTCAGCCAGAGGCGGCAACCCCTTTGCCTCCTGGCTGCAGCTATTGAATGTCCCTCTCAGTAGGTCAGCAGCCTCAGAGCAATGGTGCAGGAGAAAACTATCATCCTGGTGCTGATTTTGTCTTGGTGGCCCCAAGTCCAGGCCTCAGTGCATGTTAATAGCCACAGCTGGGGCTGAACAGGCTCAGGCCAAGATTGGGGTGACTGTCCTGTTAGAGACCCATATTGCAAAAGCAAAACAAGGAGGATTGGCTTTGGCTGAGATGGCACTGGATCTGTTGGCACTCGAAGGGGAGAGGCTTGGGCTTGCTAATGAAAAGGCTTTGTTATCCTTTCCTCCCTGGAGCAGCCCATTGGTTTGAATGTGTGTTGATATAAGAATAAGGCAATAAAACTGAAAGATGGGTGGAAGAAGGTGTGAACAGGAAATGAAGTAGCCCAGGCTTATCGAAAGAGGGAAGTGCCAGGCACGGTTTGGCTTCTGCTCCTGGCCGATCTCTGCAGGCTCTTGGTATTTCATGCGTGGGTTTGAGGAGAAGAGCACAGGCACCTCCCCACCCGTTGCGGACTCACTTGGGTGGGGGCATTGGATTAGCACACATCTCGGGGGTCTCTTCATAATTTGACGAATAGAAGGTTTGTCTTGCTTTCATGGCCATGATCTGAGTGTATTTTCAACCTCTTTGTGTTTGGGGCTCTTCTGGAAGGCTGGCTTTAGCACAGCAGGTTAATCACCAGCTCCAGCTGGTCAACGTGGTCCCTGTTCAAAGGGTCCCTGGTCAAGGGGTCCCTGCCAGGGTGCCCCTGGTCAAGTGGTCCCTGTTTAAGTGATCCCTGGCCAAAGTGGTCCCTGTTCAAGTGGTCTCCAGTAAAAGTGGTTTCTGATCAAAGTGGTCCCTGGTCATGTGGTTCCTTGTCAAAGTGGTCCCTGGTCATGTGGTCCCTTGTCAAAGTGGTCCCTGCTTGAAGTAGTCACTTGTTCAAGTGGTCCCTGGTCAAAGTGGTCCCTGTTCATGTGGTTCCTTGTCAAAGTGGTCCCTACTCAAGTGATCCCTGTTTAAGTGGTCCGTGGTCAAGTGGTCCCTGTTCAAGTGGTCCCTGGCCAAAATGGACCCTGGCCAAAGTGGTTCCTGGTCAAAGTGGTCTCTGGTCATAGTGTTCCATGTTGAAGCGGTCTCTGTTCAAGTGGTCCCTGGCCAAAATAGACCCTGACCAAAGTGGTCCCTTGTTAAAGTGGTCCCTGGCCAAAGCAGTCCTTTGTCAAAGTGGTCCCTGGTCAAGTGGTCCCTTGTCAAAGTGGTCCCTGCTCAAAATGGCCCTTTGGTCCGTGGTCAAGTGGTCCCTGTTCAAGTAGTTCCTGTTCAAGTGGCCCCTGCTCAAAGTGGTCCCTGTTCAAAATGGTCCTTTGTCAAAGTGGTCCCTGGTCAAGTGATCCCTAGCCAAAGTGGTCCCTGGTCAAAAAAAGGTTGGGAACTACTGGTTTAAGATGTATTATAAGGTGTGCAGTTCCTTCCCAGGATATTTTGAGCCTCTTTCCGCCACTTCCTGGCCAAAAAGCCCTCAGTGACACATATTCTAAATCTCCTTGGAGCATCCCCAAAGTGGTCCAGCAGTGTCCCAGATCTTCCCCGTCTTTTCATTCCCTTCCACAGAGAAAAGGTGGGCCATTAGTATTCATTCAGATTTGGAGTTGGGTGGCTCTTCTTGTGGGATGTTTTCCCGAGTGGCAAAGCGGATGCCCTTCTTGCTTGTTGCAGATGAAGATTTCCTTCAACGAGTCCAGCCTGCAGACCATGTTTGAGTACCCTTCTGAAAGCTCTTTGGTGGAGGAGGAAGAAGAAGAGGAGGAGGAGGAGGACGAAGAGGAAGAATACGCCACGGAAGTGGATGAGGCCCCGCTCGCGCTCTTCATCCCTCGTGCCACCGGTACCAGGCACCCAAACACCACCAACTCAGGTAGAGCTCACAAACGTAGGGAAGGAAGGGCCCGGATATTTTTTTATATTTTCCTTGTTGACTGGAGGAATGGGACATCATCAAAGCCTTCCCGGCAGATCGCCATCCAGCCTCTGCTTAAAGATTTTGAAAGATGGAGACGCTATCAATTCCATTGGAGGTTCTAAGAATCCTATTAATGCTATTCTAATAATATAATGTAATGTAATATAATATATCATATATACATATAATATTTAGAATATTATAATGTAATGCAATATAATGCTACTAATAATAATATGATATTATAACTATATATTTATATTACATGTAATATTACTAATAGTACAATATAACGGAATAGTACAATATAGTAATATTTAATGCTGATATTGTTCTATGCTAATAATATAATATATTGTATGAAAATATATCTTGTAAGCCGCTCTGAGTCCCCTTTGGGGTGAGAAGGGCAGCATATACATGTCGTAAGTAAATAAATAAGAATCCTAGAGTGGGAAGAGAAGTCCAAAGGCCATCTAGTCCTATTCCCTTCTGCCAGGCAGGGAAAGCACAATCCTATCCCCCCTGACAGAGGGCCATGAAGTCTCTATATAAAAACCTTTGCCACATGAAAACCTTTCATTTATAGTTCTTAAAATATATGATTTGTAAGATCATGGCATACATTTCCAAGATTTTTGTCATTTTCCATTACATTTGAAGGACATCTTGGGCGAGTGGGCTTATTAACTAAAGACCCTCTCCATAAATGCACAGCAGAGTAACTTATCATCAGTAACACTAGTAACCCAAAGTGATAAAAAGAACAAAAACACACGGACCAATGTTATCTCTTCCATAGGAGGCTTTTCTTGATAGCAAAATAATACAGTTGCACTATTTACAACAACTAGGTTTTCATAACACAAACAAAATTCTTTACACTTCCTTCTTTGCTTCCATGTTGGGCTTCTTCCTCATGCAGATAAAATAGCTTCACTCTCACAGAGTCTCTTCTCACACTGAAGTTACACAAGAGTTTCACACAATAGCTTTTTACACACAGCAGCCTTCACACAAGAGCCTTCAACCTGGGGCTTCTCCACACCAAAGCTTCTCACACCAGGACTTCTCAAACTGAGGCCTTTCTCCCACTGAGGCTTTCTCACACTGAGGGCTCTCGCAGACAGAGGCCTTTCTATTGCAATAGGTATGAATATATGAAACGTCTTCTTTTAGACAATACAAACCCCACCAGCTCAATAGATATCTTGAGCAATGATTCATCGATTTGCCCCAAAGAAATGGGAAATTGTTGTTTCCATTTGATGTTTGGTCTTATGTCTGTTATAACAGGCTGTGATTTTTATTTAATTTTAGTTTGTTACGTTATAATTCGTATTTATATGTTGGGTTGTATACGTTTTGTTACTATGGATGTATTGTTGTATTCAGGTACTGAATGTTTGCCTTTTATGTTTGGAATCCATCCTGAGTCCCTTTGGGGAAAGTTGTTGTTGTTGTTGTTATTATTATTATTATTGAGGTGAACTAACACTGAGGCCTTCTTATAGTGAGGCCTACAAACACACTGAGGTCCTTCTCCCACAGAGACCTCTCACAGACTAGAGGCTACTAAGCTACTGGTTGAGTCATTGCATCTATTTAATCCTTGCAGGATTCAACCATCTTCGCTACTATCCTCCCTCCTTTTCTCACGAAAGCAATTTGCTTTTCCCTTGTAGGTTTATCCAGTTACACCCCAAAGCACTCCCTAGAATTTGGCAAGTGGCAGGAGAAGCATCAGGAGGGGGCACCTCCAAGCCCAGGGGCCTTTCCACAGGATGCTGACCGGATTGTCCTCCAAGACATGGTAAGGCCTGCTTCTGTATCATTTCTGGAGAAGAGCATGGGGTAGAGGGTAAGGGGTCAAGGGACACACCTAGCAAAAAGGCCACGTAATGTGCAACGGGACGGTTCCCAGGTTCAGGAAAGAGCAATGGTGAGACTGGGTTGCTGTGAGTTTTCCTGATTGTCAGGCCATGTTCCAGAAGCATTCCCTCCTGATGTTTCACCCACATGTATGGCAGGCATCCTCAGAGGTTGTGAGGTTTATATACCTGTGGAATAATGTCCAGGGTGGGAGAAAGTATTCTTGTCTGTTGGAGGCAAGTGTGAATTTTGTCATTGACCACCTTGATTAGCATTGAATGGCATTGCAGCTTCAAAGCCTGGCTGCTTCCTTCCTGGGGGAATCCTTTGTTGGGAGGTGAAGCTGGCCCTGATTGTTTCATGCCTGGAATTCCCTTGTTTTCAAAGTGTTGCTCTTTATTTACTGTCCTGATTTTAGAGTTTTTTTAATACTGGTAGCCAGATTTTCTTCATTTTCATGGTTTCCTCTTTTCCATCGCAATTGTGCACATGCTTGTGGATTTGGATAGTAGGAATGTTCAGGAATTATGTGTTTAATATAATATAATATATAAAACACATAATTCCTGAACATACATACATATATGTTTGTGTGTGTGTGTGTGTGTGTGTGTGTGGATGGAATGGCCTGGACTACGATTGTTGGATTATGTGATTTTAATGGTTTATATTGATATGTTTTAATTCCACATTTTAATGTTAAATGACGTCATGTTTTATAATTTAATTTATAATTGTATGTTATTATTGTTATGTCAGATTTCTGTATGTGAGGCATTAAAATTTCCCATAATTCTGTTAGGAACCGCTTTGAGTCCCCCGTTGGGGTGAGAAAAGCGGTATACAAGTGAAGTAAGTAAGTAAATAAATAAATTTCAATGACTTCTCCCAACAAAGGATTTCCCCAGGCAGGAAGGAGCCAAGCCTTGAAGCTGCAAGGTGATCAATTGCAACATTCACACTTGCCTCGGGCAGACAAGAGTTCTTTCTCCCACCATGGACATTATTCCACAGATATATAAACTCCATTTTCCTAGTTTCCAACAGAATCCACAGCCTCTGGGGATTTTTTTCTGTGTGTGTGTGTCAGGAGCGACTTGAGAAACTGCAAGTCGCTTCTGGTGTAAGAGAATTGGCCATCTGCAAGGACATTGTCCAGGGGATGCCTGGATGTTTTGATGTTTACCATCCTTGTAGAGGCTTCTCTCATGTCCCTGCATGAGGAGCTGGAGCTGACAGAGGGAGCTCATCCGTGCTCGCCCCAGATTGGAACCTGCGACCTGTCGGTCTGCAGTCCTGCTTGCATGAGGGTTTAACCCACTGCGCACCGGGGGGCAGAAATAAATATATTTCAATATCAATATTATATATTACTATATTGTACTACACCATTATATTGTAATAATTATTAGTAACATTACATGTAATATAAAATATTAATTATAATATTGTATTAGTAGTAGTAGTATTATATTGTATTACATTATAATATTATAAATATTATATGTATATACCATAAATTATATTATATTATTAGTAAAGAACAGGAGAAGAAGTAAAGAAATATAATATATGATATAGTATATTAAATTATATTATTAGTAAAGAACCTGGAAGAAGAAGAAGAGCAGGCTCCATGCCTTTCCTCTTGTCTCTTTGCAGCTCACCCCGGCCGACACGGACAGCCTCTCGGACTTCAGTAGTGAACCTGCCCTCTACTTCTGACTTCCCAACCTCACTTGGTGCTGAGCAGAGAGCCCCGCGGAGGCCTTGGGTCACTCCAGAAAAAACTTGGAAGGGTTGGGCTGCCTTTTCCAGGGCATCTCATACTGACAGCGGATGCTTGGAGGCAGCTGACCTCTTTTCTGCCCGTTGCCTTAATAGTTCAGCTTTGAAAGCAAGTCTCCTCGATGGATGCATCTCTGAGCGAGTTGCTCTCCTTATGCTGCAGCAGCATTCGAACGGGCAGTTGAGTTGGTGCTGAGTCCAAGCAGACCTGCCAGGGACTGTGTTTGGACGCCTTTGGTGCGCAAAGCCTGCATTGGCGAGTTCCAGGAAAGGACAAGAGCGGTCCTTGGTGTCTCTGAAGTGGGCATAGCCAAAGGCCGGCCCTCCTGGGTCCCCTTACATTCAGGTGCTGTAACAAACATGACATCAGTGAGGGCCTGTGGCAGCGTGGACCACTTCTCTTTGGAGCTGGGTGCTTGCAGTGTGTGTTTGCACCCATAACCCATGTCGCAGGGCTTTGGTAAACAAAAAGGCCGGGAGTAGTTGCTCCTCTGGGTAGTTTACTCTCCCCCGCCCCAATAGATGCCCCTCTGTGGACACTGGCCAAGCTCTTGTCCAAACACCTCCAAGTCTGTATCTGGGGAGCAGTCCTTGACTCCAAAGCCAAGACCACTCTGTTGTTGGGTCAATCCCACTGATTCTACATGGGTCTTCGGCCCATTTCGTCCTCCCTTTTGCAATAATGACCTCTTGCTTCCACGTTCTCCAGAAACAGCTGAGCTGATGATCAGCAATGTTGTTGAGAATATTCAGGTGGTGGAAGCAGGATTCAGTACTGTAGCCTTAGTGCCCCGTTCGCCCTCAGTGCGGGAAATTCAGTCGGCATCTATGCTCTGCCTACCGACTCCCAAAGACCCCGATTTCTGCTCTGAAACCTATTGTGTGCGTATTTCCTTCTATTAGTATCTGTCGAATCAAAGCTGATTTCTCTGTGGTGGGTTGTAAAACGTTCTGTATTTTTGCACTTGATAACAATGACGACGATGATAATGTATTTGTAGGGGAAGCGTGTCTGGGGAAGGGCCTCTGCCCCGCACGCTCAGCCGGGTCTGGCTGGAGGGGCCAAAACGGCGGTGCAGGGGCCCGCTTCCCCCACTCGTTTCCTCCCTTTGGATGGTGTCACTTTGTGCTTCCAAAGCTCATTAAACTACACAAGTGATTGCTTCACAACAGGCTGCTTGTGGCTTTTTTTGGTGCTCAAGTCGCACAAGGGTTTTGAAAAGATACCGGGGCTTAAAAGGGAAGGGACTGTCAGAAATATTAAATAATAATAACAACAACAACAACAACAACAACACTTCATTTGTAACCCGCTACCATCTCCCCAAGGGACTCGGTGCAGCTTACATGAGGCCAAGCCCAAATACAACAATACGTACAATAAACAACAATACAAGCAATTAAAATAAAACATGGACAGTAAAATAATACAACATTAAAAATAAACTGGGTATTTTTGATTACGAAAGTGTGAGTCAAGCACTGAAAAAGTTAATAGGCCGAAGCCTGTTAGAGTTAGTGGGCACAAGCTAGTGTTGTCCTAAGGAATGTGAGCTAAACCTCTGTGTGAGAGAGGCCCCATGTCTAAAGTTCCAGTATAAAGGCTGTTGTGTGTAAAAAGCTACAGTGTGAAGCTCCAGTATAAGTTTGTTTGAGAGGAGGTTCTGTGAGAGTGAAACTGTTTATCTGTATGAGGAAGAAGTCCAGCATGGAAACAAAGAAGGAAGAATGTGTTGTGGAAACCTTGTTCTTGTAAATAACAAGACCCTCCCCATGAATGTACAGCAGAGTAACTTATTAGCAGCAACGTGACCCAGCATCAGTAGCCAAAAGTGATAAAAATAACAAAAACACACTCTTCCTTAGGAGGCTTTTCTTTATAGCAAAATAATATGGTTACACTATTTACCAGAACAAGGTTTCCATAACACAAATAAAGTTCTTTATGATTCCTTCTTTGCTTCCATGCTGGGCTTCTTTCTCATGCAGATAAACAGCCTCGCTCTCAGAGAGCCTCTTCTCACACCGAAGTTACACAGGAGCTTCACACAGTAGCTTTTTACATACAGCAGCCTTCACACACTGAAGCTTCACACACAATGGCCTTCAACCTGGCACTTCCTCTCACTGAAGCTTCTCACACCAGGCCTATTAACACTGAGGCCTACCTCAGGCAGAGGCCTTTCTTCCACTGAGGTGAGCTAACACTGCGGCTTTTCTCACTGAGGCTTTTTCTCAGACCAACACCTTTCTCTCACTGAGAGAAATATGGTTGCAGTATTTACCAGAACAAGGTTTCCATAACACAAAGTTTGTATACTTCCTTCTTTGCTTCCACACTGAGCTTCTTTCTTATGCAGATAAACAGCCTCGCTTTCACACAGCCTCTTCACACAATGAACTTACACAGAAGCTTCACACAGTAATAATAATAATCATCATCATCATCATCATCTTTATTTATATCCCGCCACCATCTCCCCAATGGTGACTCGGAGCAGCTTACATGAGGCCAAGCCCAAACAACAATTTTTACAATAAGATAAAACCGAAAACACAAACAATAAACAAAAACAACATCGTTACATAAAACATGTGAATACATAACAATGTAAAATTACAATAAGCACAGACACAATGACAATGGGCGGGCTACATGTAATGATTAAAAGAAAAACTGATTAAGACTAATTAAAAACTTGGGCGATATTAACAATAGCCTTTTACACACAGCAGGCTTTACACACGATGGCCTTCAACCTGGGGCTTCTCTCACCACAGCTTCTCACACCAGTCCTTCTCATACTGAGACCTACTAACACTGAGGCCTACCTCACACTGAGTTCTTTCTCCCACTGAGGTCTGCTAACATTGAGGGCTCCCTCAGACTGACACACTTCTCACACTGAGGCGCACTAACACTGAGGCCTTCTCATACTGAGGCCTACAAACACACTGAGGACCTTCTTCCACATAGACCTCTCACAGACTGAAGGCTACCTCAGACTAAGGGCTACTAAGCTACAGGCATACCTACTTACATAGAACTATAGCTTTTGTGAGTCATTGCATCCATTTAACCCTTTCAGTGCTTGACTCACATTTTTGTAATTAAAAATACCTAGTTTGTTTTTAATATTTCTGACAGTTTTCATGCATTGCATGAAATAGATGTGTTGCACTTTTAGATTAGCAAATGCTGGGCTGCGAAACTCCAAGGGGTACATCCCTACCAAGCTGTTTGCCCCCCAGTCCCCAAAATGGGAAGAGAATCCCTGGGTTTCTGCCAGAGCCTAGCAGCGCCTTTAGCCCTGGCTTCTTCTGAAATAGCTAATGCCGGTGATAAGCTGAGCTATTTCTGAGCCCCGCGTCAGCCCTGCTATTTCCAAAGCCCCAATCCCAGGCTGGCTTTGGGCTCCTGGGAAAGTGTGCTGTTGTTGCTTATGTAAGGGGGGGGGGGGGGTCAATCGGCAATACCAGCTACAGGCAAACCAATGGGAAGGCAGAACCACAGATCCTCAGCCACTGGTGTTTTTTGTGGACCGACCTGGCTCTGGTGGAACCCATTTCCCCTTTTGGCAGATACTATAGTGGTCATCCGCTGAACCTCAGGAGCACAAAGTGTGTAAAACGACAAGGGTTGAATGAAAAGTAATGCCTCCACCTTCGTAACTCCTCAACAGATGGCAGTACTGGTATGCGGCAGGTACTGGCTTGTTCAGTAGTCTCTCCTCTACAATTCCATTTTGGCGGGAAGCCTTAGCATTGAACGGTTGTGTTGTTAAAGTGCAAAGTATGGAACCCTGCACAGACGGTCAGTCAATGCAGTGATTGAATTCTTGACAGAAGAAGGTGTCACCCCAAAGGAGATTCATCAGAGAATGCAAGCTGTTTATGGTGATTGTGTTGATGTGAATACTGTGCATCGTTGGGTAAGTTTAAAGATGTTGAGGTGGGAATATCTGACTTGTGTGACAAAGAGTTGGGCGTCCTGTGACAGCAACCACTGAGTTTCACAAGCAAAAGGTTAACAGATTGATTCAGGACGATTGTCGTATCACTCAGAAATTTCAAGCATAATCTGCATTTCACAAGAATGTGCGGGTCACATTATGGCTTTGTTTGGCTATCGGAAGATCTGTGCACAGTGGGTACCCAGGAGGAGAGAACTGTGAGATGCTGGTTGCGGAAACAGTGTGTCAACGGCTTCAGAAAACTTGTTCATCGTTGGCAGAAATTTATCCAATTGTCTTGTGATTATGTGGAAAAGTGAATAGTGGAAGTTGATTTATTAAAATATTCCCATCCAAACCCAAGTAACGAAGGTGGAGGCTTTACTTTTCATTCAACCCTCGTATGTCCCACGGAGGATGAATGGGCAAGGCTTGCGTTGCTTCTGCTCTAGAGGGGGCCATGGGTTCCCATGGCAGGAAAAGAGATGCCACCTAAACACTAAGAAGAACGCCCCGAAGTTCTGAGTGATTTGGACCCTGTTCGCTCTTTGAAGGCCTTCAATGAAACTGAGTGACACCCCTGTGCTAAGGCCATCTAGACTCACTTCTTCACTTCTCCCGGCCATTGGAGGGGAGTGTTCCATGGCTCTATGACCTCACAATCTGTCCCAGAATCCCCTGCTTCAAGGCTCTGTCCCCCCCGCCGGATGGCCTGGCCGACTGTCCCTTAGCCAGAGAGGCTCCTTGGAAGGCATGAAGGATCCTTAGGCGAAGGACCGCCATGATGCATCTGACCTGCATAGTCTTCTTCTGCATTGCGGCTTCGTCTTCCTGTGAGTCTTGCAGCCAATGGCTGGACATTTATTATTATTATTATTATTATTATTATTATTATTATTATTATTAAACTGATTTTATTATATTATACACATACAAAGAAATACAAACATTTTGCATTATTATTATTATTATTATTATTATTATTATTATTATCCTGCTTTTTTAAAAGAGTTTCAAAGTGGCTTTCCCTCTGTGATGTGTGACCAGGAGGGTGCCATTGTCGACAGAGTTGGCTTATAGTTTCCCCCCTTCCTCGCTCTTTTTGTCTAATTGAGGCTCCATATGTTAGTGTTTGATTTATGGGGTGAGTGGGCCTATTAAGAAAAGACCCTCCTAATAAATGCACAGCAGAGTAACTTATCAGCAGTGTGACCCAGCCCAAAGTGATAAAAAAGAACAAAAATACACAGACCAATGTTATCGCTTTCATAGGAGGCTTTTCTTTATAGCAAAATAATATGGTTGCGCTGTGTACAGGAACAAGGTTTCCATAACATGAACACGGTTCTTTATACTTCCTTCTTTGCTTCCACGCTGGGCTTCTTTCTTATGCAGATAAACAGCCTCGCTCTCATAGAACCTCTTCTCACAACGAACTTACACAGAAGCTTCACACAATAGCCTTTTACACACAACAGCCTTCACACATGATGGCATTAATCTCTTACTGAAGCTTCTCACACCTTCTCATAATGAAGCCTACTAACGCTGAGGCCTACTTCACACTGAGGTCTTTCTCCTGAGGAGGTCTGCTAACACTGAGGTCTCCATCAGACTGACAAGCTTGTTACACACAGTCTGATGGAGACCTCAGTGTTAGCAGACCTCCTCAGGAGAAAGACCTCAGTGTGAGGTAGGCCTCAGTGTTAGTAGGCCTCATTATGAGAAGGTGCGAGAAGCTTCAGTGAGAGATTAATGCCATCATCCTGGGGCTTCTCTCATCAAAGCTTCTTACACCAGGCCTCCTAAAACTGAGGCCTTTCTCCCACTGAGGTTTCATCACACACTGAGGGCTACCTCAGACTGATGCCTCGCTCACACTGAGGTGAACTAACACTGAGGCCTTCTCATACTGAGGCCTACTAACACACTGAGGCCTTTCTCCCACATCAGCCTCTCACAGACTGAGACTACTAAGCTACAGGCACACCTGCTTATATTGAACTACAGCTTTTTCTGAGTCATTGCATGCTTGTCTCACATTTTTTGTAATTTAAAAATATGTAGTTAATTTTTATGGGCCAGTGGCAGAGTACAGGATGCCATGACAGAAGCAAGGCGGGAATGACACGAGACATCTCTTGATGTGGGCCCAGTCCTCACTCAGAGCAGATTCCTCTGATTCCTTTGCTTCCCAGTGGAAACCACCGAGGAAGGGAGACCCAAAGCTCAGCCTCGGGCCTCAGATCTCCGGCTGGCCAGTTCCAATGAGAGCAATGCAGAGGGCCATGTGGACATTGTCCGGAGAGCTGTCAGGAAGGTGAGCCCAAGGATCCGGCTTTTTCTCTGGATGCAGACCCTCTGCTCAGAAAGAGCCAGGGGAACCGGGGCTCCAGCTCGAGAAAAGGGGCACAGAACTCACACAACGCGGCTTCTTATCCACAGTATCCAGAAGATTCTGGACGCAACCATATTGGGCACCGGCATGCCTCCTTCGAAGGTAAGACCTCCCCCAGCCCCACCTAGCACCTGGCATTGTTCAGATAGAAAACCCACCTCTGTGGCTGGGATGGGGAGTGCAGAAGAGATCGTATCTAGCCATTGGGTTCCTCTGGGCCTGCACTCCCCACAGCTCTTGGCAGAGGAGGTCTTGTTTCCCATAGCTGTCTTGCAAACCGCCAGGATTTAGACCTGGGCGAGTCCACTCGCATTTGAGGTGGTCCCAGGGTGAGTCAAAATAAAAGCAATATATTGTGTGTGTGTGTGTATAAAATGTAATGTTCGTTTGTGGGATTAACATAACTCAAAAACCACTGGACGAATTGACACCAAATTTGGACACAATACACCGAACAGTCTAACGAGTGTCCATCACCCATAAACACGCACACACACAAAACCCCAGCAGAACAGACTTAAAAACCCCAAAAATAAACCATATATACATATACACATACACTCATATACATATGCACATGCACACATTCATACACATACACACGTATATTTATGCACAAACACACAAATATACACATGCACACACATATACATATCCACATACATGTTATTGTTGTTCATTCGTTCAGTCGTCTGCGACTCTTCGTGACCTCATGGACCAGCCCACGCCAGAGCTCCCTGTCGTCACCACCCCCAGCTCCTTCAAGGTCAGTGGTCCACATACATACATATATACAATATGAATATAGACAAGCCACACATATACACAATATGCATGTACACATATAAACACACAAATACACACACACACACACACACACATATATATATATATGCATGTAAACACACATATATACACATGCAGAACACATATACACAGACTGGGCCACAGCAATGAGTGGCAGGGGACGGCATATATATATATACACACACACACACACACACACACACATAGTAAGCTGCTCTGAGTCCCCTTCGGAGTGAGAAGGGCGGCATATAAATGTCGTAAATAAATAAGTAAATAAATAAATTTGACCAGTAGCCCAAACTGACAAAAAGAACAGAAACACACCGACAATTGTTATCTCTTCCATAGGAGGCTTTCCGTGATAGCAAAATAATATGGTTGCACTATTTACAAGAACAAAGTTTTCATAACACAAAGTTCTTTATGATTCCTTCTTTGCTTCCATGCTTTCTCATGCAGATAAACAGCTTCACTCTCACAGAACCTCTTCTCACACTGAAGTTACACAGGAGCTTTTTACACAGAAGCCTTTATACTGGACCTTTACAAAATGAGGCCTTACACACAAGGCCTTTAACCTGGAGCTTCTTTTACCAAACCCTCATACTTGGCCTTCTCATAGACTAAGGCCTACCTCACACAGAGGCTTCTCTCACAGACTAAGGCCTACCTCACACTGTGAGGCCTTCTTCCATAGGTTTACCTCAGACTGATGGCTACTAAGCTACTGGCACACCTACTTATATAGAACTGCACCTTTTGCTGAGTCATTGCATCCATTTAACCCTTTCAGTGCTTGACTCACATTTTTGTAATTAAAAATACCTAATTTTTAATATTTCTGACACTTATTTCCCCCCCTCCCTTCCTTCCCTGCTGCCCCTTGTGTTGCAGTGCCAATCCAAGATGAGTGCCACTGTCCGCCGACGATGTCTGAAAGCACAGTGGTGGCCCTGGTGGCCGCCTTGGCCTTCCTGGCTTTCCTCCCCACCGTCCTCCTTCTGGCAGCGGTCATCTGGTTCTTGTGTTGGGTGGTGAAGGCAAATAAGTAAGTCTGGGGTGGTCGACGGGGGGATAGGGTACTGTGATCTTCCTCAAGCAGCAGGGGGCAGGGAAGGGAACCTCTCAGAACAGGCCCTGGGTCCCCTCCCCTTCTATGTGGCCCTGCCAGAGTGGCCCTCAGGTTTGTTACCACCTTCTTGCTCTCAGCCCTTTCCTTCTCCTTCTTGGTTCCCAGGAAGAAGGAGAAGGAGGAGAAGTCGGGCCACATGCTGCATCCTAAGAGGCGGGCCCCTCCTGTCCCGTAAGTGGCCTTGTTAGAAATAGCAATCTTCCAAGCCTTCACTATTTGTTTGTGAATGTATATATTTTCTAACCTGTATTGTATGTATATGTTGATTTGGCAATTTGGCTGACCTCTTTGGTGTGGGAGGGGCTACAGACATGTGATTGGACTGAGCATTGGGACCTTTCTCCCACTGAGGTTTACCTCAGACTCACGGCTACTAAGCTACTGGCACACCTGCTTATATAGAACTGCACCTTTTGCTGAGTCATTGCAGCCATTTTGGAATCAGTATGTTTTTGGAGTTCGATGGAAATAGTATATTTTTGGACTTCAATAGAAACAGTATGCTTTTGGATTTCAAATGGAAGCAGATGTCTTTTGGATTTATGCAGAAATAGTTTACTATATGTTTGTTTTGAGAAGCAGTGAGTATAATTATACAGTTTGGATTTTCATAAGATATATACTTAAAGACTTTGGACTATGGACCATTGATTAAGAATGTTGCCCTGTGTTCCCAACACAGAGAAACTACATCCTATCTATAACTGAACTTTAATAAGAAATGTGCCTGTATGGTGAATGAATACAAGATATTTGTGAGTAAATCAGATATGTTATTTTCGAAAGAAGACTTTGTTTTTTGTCTCTGAGTGCATATTTTAAACTTAAGAGGTTTAAAATATGTTTGGAGCAACTGCAACTTCAAAAAAAGTTGGAGACCCCTCACCCAGCACCAACCGCCGCTCTGGACCAGAGTGAAGAGAGAGGGGGCAAGGGACAGTTCCATCTTGTCTCCTGCATATGTCATCATCTGGGGACCCCTCCCCCCAGCACCAACCCCTGCCCTGGGCCAAAGTGAAAGAGAGGGGGCCAGGGACAGTTCCATCTTGTCTCCTGCATATGTCATCAGTTGGGGACCCCTCCCCCAGCACCAACTGCCACTCTGGGCCAGAGTGAAGAGAGGGGGGACCAGGAGACAGTTCCATCTTGTCTCCTGCACATGTCATCAGTTGGGGACCCCTCCCCACAGCACCAACCGCCGCTCTGGGCCAGAATGAAGAGAGAGGGGACCAGGAGACAGTTCCATCTTGCCTCCTGCACATGTCATCAGTTGGGGACCCCTCCCCCCAGCACCAACCGCCGCTCTGGGCCAGAGTGAAGAGAGAGGGGGCCAGGGGACAGTTCCATCTTGTCTCCTGCATATGTCATCAGTTGGGGACCCCTCCCCCAGCACCAACTGCCGCTCTGGGCCAGAGTGAAGAGAGAGGGGGCCAGGGGACAGTTCCATCTTGTCTCCTGCACCTGTCATCAGTTGGGGACCCCTCCCCCCAGCACCAACCGCCGCTCTGGGCCAGAATGAAGAGAGAGGGGGCCAGGGGACAGTTCCATCTTGTCTCCTGCATATGTCATCAGTTGGGGACCCCTCCCCCAGCACCAACTGCTGCCCTGGGCCAGAGTGAAGAGAGAGGGGGCCAGGGGACAGTTCCATCTTGTCTCCTGCGCATATGAAATAATAATATAATATAATAAATAATAATTACTAATATTACAATATAATACTACTACTAATAATACAATATTATAATTATATATTTTATATTACATGTGATATTACTAATAATATTACAATATAATGGTGTAGTACAATATAGTAATATATAATACTGATATTGTACTATGCTAATAATATAATATATTGTATGTATATATATTTTGTAAGTCGCTCTGAGTCCCCTTTGGGGTGAGAAGGGTGGCATATAAATGTCATAAATAAATAAACAAACAAAAAAACAAACAAATAAATAACATCTTTAAATATTTTATGCAGTGGCATGTCTTTGTCCCTGGCAGTTCAAAGACATTGGTCTTCAGTTCCACAGCTGAGTTACCTGTGTGCCATTACATGAATGCTTGAGAACATCACTTGTTCAAAGGGTTGACTTTTAAGAAGGCCATGCCTTTTCTTGACTAGTGGTTTTCAAAAGGTGATCTCCACATATTCATGGAGATTCACATTTGCCAAATGGATATGACATCATGTTTCCTTTTCAAAAAGGATATGATTGCCATTTTTTTCCAAAATGCCCAGATCGGGAGGGTTCCAGGCCTTTCCCGTAGGAGGGCTTGAGACGGCCATTCACCCCATTTGAATGGGGAGCGGTTTGGGGGCGGGGGTGGCATAGCGGTGCCTTTCAGCCTTGCCTTTCCCTCTGGTTCCAGGCCACCTCGCCCAGAGAACACCTACAGGCCGTCAAGGCGGACTTACGGATATGAGCAGATTCATCCGGCCTCCCCGTGAGTGGCCCCCAGGTGTCCTTTCTCTTCCGTGGCTGCTCCAAGGAAGCCTTCTTTCACCACCACAACCCATTCCCCTGATCGTGCTCCTAACTAGGAAAATCACCCAATGTTCTCATGTAGCCAATGACTGCTTTGTCCCACAGTGATTCACTTTCCTTAGTCCTGCTTTAGAGTTGGAAGGGACCTCAGTGGCCATCCAGTCCAACCTCCTTCTGCCGTAAAGGAAGACACTATCAAAGCACTCCCAATAATGGCCATCCATTCTCTGCTTATATACTCCAGGGAAAGAGACATCACCATCATTGTTATTGCTATCAAAGATGATGATCATCATAGAATCCTAGAGTTGTAAGGAACCCCAAAGGCCATCCAGTCCAACCCCTTCTGCCATCAAACAAGGCACCTTGATCATTCTGTGGCCACAAACATGGCCTTTTCCTCTTTTCTCTGCCTTTGTGTCCTTTCAGGCGAGATACGCAAGGGGTCTACCTGAGTGCCAGTGAGTTGAACCCTGGGCCTAGGTGAGCGAGAGTGAGGGGAGCCCGGCCATCTTCCTTTAAGATGACTCTTCTCAGTCGTTGCTTCATCTTAGGCTTCCCAGAACATTCCGTGTTTCGACTCTGGACTCTATGCAGTTAAAGTCGTTTTTCCTTGTGATTTCAGAACCCATCGGGAGATGACATACCAGAACCTTAAGCCAGCGGAATCCAGGTCAGTAAGAACAAGGAAGTGGGAGGCCTCTTCTTGGATGGATGGATGGATGGATAGAGGGGTGGAAGAATGGATGGATGGATAGATGGATGGATGGATGGATGGATGGATGGATGGATGGATGGATGGATAGATAGATTGAAGAGTGGATGGATGGATGGATGGATGGATGGATGGATGGATGGGTGGAAGAATGCATGGATGGATAGATAGGTGGATGGATAGATGGAAGAATGGATGGAGAGATAATTGGAAAATGGATGGATAGATAGATAGATAGATAGATAGATAGATAGATAGAATAATGGATGGATGGAAGGAAGGAAAGAAAAAGAAAGTTCGATAGATAGATGGATACTGTAGATATCCTGCCTATTTCCTGCATCCATTTGAACTTAAACTCTAAGGCTTTATTCAGTTCTCTTTTGGGGCTCCTAATGCAGCAGAATACCTATTGATCAGCATTTGGGTTTTCGTAACCAGTTTGGGCTCCAGACTCTATTGAGTTAAAGTCCTGTTTTTCCTTGTGACTTCAGAAGCCCTCGGGAGATGACTTCAGAACCTTAAAACAGTGGAATACAAGTCAGTAAGAACAAGGAAGTTGGATGCCTCTTCTCAAATGGATGGATGGATGGATGGATGGATGGATGGGTAGGTAGGTAGGTAGGTAGGTAGGTAGGTAGGTAGGTAGGTAGGTAGGTAGAAGAATGGATGGATGGATGGATGGATGGATGGATGGATGGATGGATAGGTGGAAGAATGGGTGGCTGGCTGGCTGGCTGGCTGGATGGATGGATGGATGGATGGATGGATGGATGGATGGAAAGATGGTTAGCTGACTGGCTAGATAGATAGATAGATAGATAGATAGATAGATAGATAGATAGATAGATAGATAGATAGGCAGGCAGGCAGGCAGGCAGGCAGGGAGGCAGGCAGGCAGGCAGGCAGGCAGGCAGGCAGGCAGGCAGGCAGATCGTGGAATCCTAGAGTTGGAAGAGACCTCAAGGGGCCATGCAGACCAACTGCCTTCTGCCAGGTACATTCCAAACCCTCTGGACAGATCACCATCCAGCTAAAGATATGGATGGATGGATGGGTGTATGGGTAGACGGAAGAGTGACTGGCTGGTTGGCTGGCTCACTGGATGGATGGGTGGATGGATAGGTGTATGGATAGACGGAAGAGTGGTTGGTTGGCTGTCTGGCATATGTCACTGGATGGATGGATGGATGGATGGATGGATGGATGGATGGATGGATGGATGGATGGAAAGGTGTATGGATAGACAGAAGAGTGGCTGGTTGGTTGGTTGGTTGGTTGATTGGTTGGTTGGTTGGATGGATGGAAAGGTGTATGGATAGATGGAAGAGTGGCTGGTTGGTTGCTTGGTTGGTTGGCTGGCTGGCTGGATGGATGGATGGGTGGGTGGATGGATGGATGGATGGAAAGGTGTATGGATAGATGGAAGAGTGGCTGGTTGGTTGGTTGGCTGGCCGGCTCGCTGGCTGGCTGGCTGGATGGATGGATGGAAAGGTGTATGGATAGACGGAAGAGTGGCCGGTTGGTTGGCTGGCTGGCTCGATGGATGGATGGATGGATAGAGGGGTGGAAGAATGGATGCACCCATTTTAACTTAGACACTAAGGCTTTATTTGGTTCCCAGATGGGCTCCTAATGCAGGTGGGCTCCTAATGCAGCACAATTCTTATTGATTGGCATTTGGGTTTTTGTAACCAGTTTGGGCTCCAGACCCTATGGAGTCAAAGTCCTGTTTTTCCTTGTAATTTCAGAAGTCCTCGGGAGACGACTTACCAGAACATGAAGCCAGTGGAACCCAAGTCAGTATGAACAAGGAAGTGGGAGGCCTCTTCTTGGATGGATGGATGGATGGATGGATGGATGGATGGATAGATAGATAGATAGATAGATAGATAGATAGATAGATAGATAGAGATCCTGCTACTAATCTGAGAACCAAGACATCTTCAAACATGGGGCTGGGGATGTCCAACATTTGGGAAATGTCGTGACTGCAGATCTCAGAATCCCCAGCAGGAGCGGTTGCTGGGAATTGTAGTCAGGAAAAGCAGAGCTCCCTTCCTGGGTGGAAATGGGAGGAGGGCAGCAGTGGTGGAGGCAACCCTTTGGGAAAGGGCTGGCTGAGCACACTGAGGGGGGAAAGCAGAGGGGCTGAGCCTCCCTTCCTTGCCTTTCCAGGACAGGCCCAGAGACGGGGTACATCAGCCCTGATCGAGTGCTGCCTCTTTCCACGTGAGTCGCAGGGAGGGAAAGGCAGAGCCAGAGCAGCTTTCTTCAAAAGAGGGCAGCCCCTGAGCATGTGCAGAGCTGGTCCTCCTCAACTGCCCATGTCCGGGCCCCGTGACCATTTGCTCCCACGCAACCCCTCCCCTTGCTCTTCCAGGCCTCCTTTGGAGAAGAGGTACGTGAACCCGGAGTCTCTGGAAAAGAAGTACATGAATATCGATCACTCCCATCCGACCTCTCTGTAAGTTTGAGTTCCATCACCCATTTTGGACGAATTTGGGGGTTCTCCAGAACCTCTTTGTTAGATTACGAGGAAAAAAAAATCTGCCACCCAGATTATCGGTTTTACACTCTTCTTCCTTCCTGCAGAAGTGGAAGCGCTCCAGGGACTACCATGTCGCCAACATTGTCCCCAAGAGGGTGAGTAAGGTCTCCTTGATGGACGCAAACATCAGAAAGTACTCTAAATCCCTACCTATAACTTGTTTCTAGAGCTTCTAGTCCTCCTGATACAAAATCCCTAGGAGTTAGAAGTCTGGGAGGAGGGTTTGGGCAGGCCTTCGGCTCATAAAGCAAGAGCACAGTCAGCTAGGTTACAAGCCAAACATCAGGGCTGAATGTCTTAGAAGAGACTTGCAGTGTTTTGGGTCTGGTAGAACTCCCTTTGGCCAGAAATGGAAACCGAGGGGGCCTTAGATTAAGTTTTATTTATTTATTTATTCATTCATTCACGACATTTATATGCCGTGGATAAATAAATAAAACTTCATGTAATGTAATGGCACACAGGTAACTCAGCTGTGGAACTGAAGAACAATGTCTTTGAACTGCCAGGGACAAAGACATGCCACTGCATAAAAATATATGTGGCTAGCAGAGTTTTAAAGATGTTTATTATTTATTTTATTTATTTATTTACGACATTTCATTTCAGAGCAGCTTACTATATATATATATATATACACACACACACACACACACACATACAATATATTATATTAGCATAGTACAATATCAGTATTATATATTACTATATTGTACGATACCCTTATATTGTAAGATTATTAGTAATATTACATTAATATAAAATATATAATTATAATATCTTATTAGTAGTATTATATTGTATTGCATTATAATATTATAAATATTATATGTGTATACAATATATTATATCGCATTATATTATATTATTAGCATAGTACAGGAGACAAGATGGAACTGTCCCCTGGCCCCCCCTCTCTTCACTAAGTTCAGTGGAATTTTCCAAGTATAAGTTTGCCATTAGGATGACTAGGATTCCAATAAAATATTGTTCTTCTTGGTTAAATACAATAAGCAGGGAGGGGAGAGCAGGCATGTTTGGCACATGGCAGCGAGGAAGAGCATGTGAGGCTGGAGGGAGACTCACGCCAGCGAGATCCTTCAAGGCAGGGGGTTTCTGTGTGGGAAGTTTGGCCCAATTCCATCATTGGTGGGATTGCTGCTCTTTGATTGTAGGATGACTAGGATTCCAATAAAATATTGTTCTTCTTGGTAAAATACAATAAGCAAATAAGTGTTGTATTTTATAGGTAGGTACTAGATAGGTTATATAGATAGATGATTAGATCACCTTCATACAGGTGGGGAAAATATACTCTGGGGACAAAATCCATTGAGGGGGAGCAACTGTGTATGATAGTATGACTACTCTCCAAAAGCTCATTGGAAAAGCCAGGTTTTGAGATCCCTCTTGAAAGTTTCTAAGGTGGGGGCCTTCCTAATCTCACTGGGCAATGAGTTCCAGAGTCGGGGGGCCACAGAGGAGAAGGCACTCTTCCTTGTGCTTATAAGACGAGCCTGTGATAATGGCAAGGGCGAAAGGAGAGCCTCCCCCGAGAATCTAAAAGCTCGGGCTGGTTCATGGAGAGAGATCCGGTCACAAAGGTACGGCGGTCCCAAACCATTTAGGGCTTTGTAGGTAATAACCTGCACCTTGAATTGGGACCGGAAGACAAACGGCAGCCAGTGAAGCTCTTTAAACAGGGGAGTTGATCTTTCCCTATAATTCGCCCCAGTTATTAATCTGGCTGCTGCATGTTGGACAAGTTGTAATTTCCGGGCCTCTTCAAGGGCAGCCCCACGTAGAGTGCATTACAGTAATCCAGTCTAGAGGTAACTAAGGCATGGACTACCATGGTCAAGTCAGACTTCACAAGGTATGGTCGTAGTTGGTGCATGAGTTTTAATTGTGTGAAGGCCCTCTCAGCCACCGCCAATACCTGAGCTTCAAGCGTCAGCGCTAAGTCCGGGAGGACCCCCAAACTACGGACCTGTGACTTCAGGGGGATTGCGACCCTGTCCAGTACAGGTTGCCACCCAATACCCCAGTCAGATAATACAGATAACAATATAGTGACAGATAAAATGACAGATAATACCTGTAGATAGATAGATTAAAACTACATGATAGATGATGCAGATAATAATAATAATAATAATAATAATAATAATAATAATAATAATAATCCTTTATTTATAACCCGCTACCATCTCCCGAAGGACTCGGTGTGGCGTAAGAGGCCGAGACCCAGTACATCAATAAACAACACAACAACAATACATCAATATAGAATATAGATAGAATATAGAGAAAGATAAATTGAATGATAGCTGATACATGATGGAGATAGATAATAGGCAGTTGTATGATATCGAAGATTAGATAGATAGATAGATAGATAGATAGATAGATAGATAGATAGATAGATAGATAGATAGAGAATATAAATATATAGTGACAGACGAAACACATGATCCATAAATGATCCTTGGTAGAGATAGATGAGAGAGGGGGCTCCTTGGCTGGGAAGAAGACCATTTACTCCTGCTGCTGCTTCCTCTCCTTCCCACAAAACCCACGCATCTCACGGGCCCTTTCCTGGCCTTCCTTCTGCCTTCCTTTCCAGGCGGGAGAACCATATCTACGAAGAGATTGGATGAGAGGAGGGCGGTGCACAGAATGGCCTGTCTGCACGAAGGAGAGGGCCCTGCAAGATGAGGGCCGCCATGGCTTTGCATTAAAGCATCTCTTGTTTTGCTTACCCCCCTCCCTCCTTTATTCAAATGATGTTTGCAAATTTTATGGTATAATAGCTACAACACAATAGACTCTCAGTGAACCCATGGCCCCATGCGGATTGACAGATGTCAGATTAATAATAATAATAGTTGCAGTCATTGAATCCTAGAGTTGGAAGAGACCTGGTGGGCCATCTAGTCCAACTCCATTCTGCCAAGAAGCAGGAAAATCACATTCAAAGCACCCCTGACAGATAGCCATCTAGTCTCTGCTTGAAAGCCTCCAAAGATGGAGCCTCCACCACACTCCAAGGCAGAGAGTTCCACTGCTGAACAGCTCACTCTCACAGTCTTCATGTTCAGGTGGAATCTCCTTTGCTGTAGTTTGAAGCCATTGTTCCATTGAGTCCTAGTCTCCAGGGCAGCAGAAAACAAACCTTCTCCCTTCTCCCTAGGACATATTTCCCCCACATATTTATGCAGCTTTCTCCCCTCAGCTTTCTCTTCTGCAGGCTAAACATACCAAGCTCTTTAAGTCACTCCTCATGGGGCTTGTTCCCCAGATCCTTGATCCTTTGCGTCACCCTCTTCCTCTGGACACATTCAACAACATCAACATCTCCCTTCGATTGCGGTGCCCAGAATTTGACACGGTGAGATTCTAGGTAAAGTGGTCTGACCAAGGCAGAATAGAATAAAGGGAGAGCATGACTTCCCTGGATTCCTATTGATGCTGGCCAAAATCCCATTGGCCTTTTTAGCTGCTGCATCACATTGCTGGCTCATGTTTAACTTCCTGTCCACGAGGACTCCAAGATCTTTTTCACACATTCTGCTGTTGAGCCAGGCATCGTTCCCTGCATCTACTCAGCGTGTAACTCAATTGAAAAAAGAGATCAGATTAGTCTGGCACTTGTTTTCAATCAATCTGTATTGACTATTAGTAATGACTGCATTATTACGAGGGTTGAATGAAAAGTAATGCCTCCACCTTCGTAATTCCTCACAGATGGTAGTACTGGTATGCGGCAGGTYCTGGCTTGTTCAGTAGACTCTCCTCTACAGTTCCATTTTGGCGGGAAGCCTTAGCATTGAACGGTTGTGTTGTTAAAGTACGAAGTATGGAACCCTGCACAGRTGATTGGTCAATGCGACTTAAGCAACGTGCAGTCAGGTACTGGCTTATTCAGTAGACACTCCTCTACAGTTCCATTTTGGCRGGAAGCCTTAGCATTGAACRGTTGTGTTGTTAAAGTACGAAGTATGGAACCCTGCACAGATGATCGGTCAATGCGCCTTAAGCAACGTGCAGTCATTGAATTCTTGACAGCGGAAGGCATCACCTCAMCATCTTTAAACTTACTYGCCCAACGACGCACAGGACTCACATCAACACAATCACTATAAACAGCTTGCATTCTCTGATTACTCTCCTTTGGGGTGACACCTCCTGCTGTCAAGAATTCAATCACTGCACGTTAAGTCGCATTGACCGACCATCTGCGCAGGGTTCCATACTTCGCACTTTAACAACAGAACCGTTCAATGCTAAGGCTTCCCACCGAAATGGAACTGTAGAGGGGAGTCTACTGAACAAGCCAGTACCCACCGCATACCAGTACTGCCATCTGTTGAGGAGTTACGAAAGTGGAGGCATTACTTTTTATTCAACCCTAGTACAGGCAACTCTAATAATAATAATGCAGCAGACAGACTCAGTTAATCCATGGCACTAATGGGAATTGGTAAATGATGTAATATTATTATTATTATTATTATTATTATTATTATTATTATTATCTCTCATTGAAGCCATAGCTTCCATTGCTGTTGATAGATACAATAATAAGAGATCTCAGTTAAGCCATGGCCTCTGTGGGATTGGTAGATACTGGATGATGATTATGATTATTATTACTACTACTACCACCAATGGAAAACAGTATGATGCTGGGGGAAATGGAAGGAAAAAGGAAGAGGGGCCGACCAAGGGCAAGATGGATGGATGGTATCCTTGAAGTGACTGGATTGACCTTGAAGGAGCTGGGTGGTGACGACTGACAGGGAGCTCTGGCGTGGACTGGTCCATGAAGTCACGAAGAGTCGGAAACGACTGAACGAATGAACAACAAAAATGGAAACGACTCTGTGCATCTACGGCACTTGGGGATTGGTAAATGCTGGATTAATGTTGTTTCTGCTTGCTTGAGAGTTGTTATTATTTATTTATTTACGACGTTTATATGCTGCCCTTCTCAGCCCGAAGGGGACTCAGAGCGGTTTACAAGGTATATATACATACAATATATTATATTATTAGCATAGTACCATATCAGTATTAAATATTACTGTATGGTACTATACCGTTATATTGAAAAATAGGCCTAATGCTATACCCCAGTCATGGGCAAACTTAGCCTCTACCAGTTTTGGACTTTAACTCCCACAATTCCTGGCTTCAGGCCCTTTCCTTTCTCTTTTACGGAGCCTTCCTCCCACTGAGGCCTTCTCACAGAGGGCTCTCTCAGACTGAGGCCTCTCACATACTGAGGCAAACTAACGCTGAGGCCTGCTAACAAACTGAGACTCCACTCCCACAGAGACCTCGCACAGACTAAGCTACAAGCACACCTGCTTATTTCGAACTGCAACTTTTGCTGAGTCATTGCATCCATTTAACGCTTAAGCAGCTGAGGGAGGAAAGGACGGGGCCTGAGGCCAGGAATTGTGGGAGTTGAAGTCCAAAACACCCGAGGGCCAAAGTTTGCCCATGTTATACCAATATTATTATTATCAATATAAATAAAAATGTAATGTTCGTTTGTGGGATTAACAGAACTCAAAAACCACTGGGCGAATTGACACCAAATTTGGACACATGATACCTAACAACCCAATGTATGTCCTTCACTCCAAAAAATTGATTTTGTCATTTGGGAGTTGTAATTGCTGGGATTTATAGTTCACCTACAATCAAAGACCATTCTGAACCCCACCAATGATGGAATTGAACCATCACACAGAACTCACACGACCAACAGAAAATACTGGAAAGGTTTAGTGGCCATTGACCTTTGGTTTTAGAGTTGTAGTTCACCTGTATCCAAAGATGACTGTGGACTCAAACAATGATGGATCTGTACCAAAGTCTATACGAATACTCAATATACCCAAATGTGAACAATGGTGGAGTTTGGGGGAAATGGAATCTTGACATTTGGGAGTGGTAGCTGCTGGGATTTATAGTTCACCTACAATCACAGAGCATTCTGAACCCCACCGATACAATTGGGCCAAACCTCCCACACAGAACCCCCATGTAGGCCACAGCAACGCGTGGCAGGGGATGGCTAGTTATTATTATTGATGTCCAAAACACAAGGGCCAAAGTTTGCCCATGTTATACTACTACTAATAGTTTTGTAAACACTTCCTCAGGTGGGGTTTTGCTTCTGAGGCTGAGAGAGTGTGACCCCACCTTATAGGAATTTAGTTGTAGGGCATGCTTTTGCGAGACTGAATAAGAGTGCTTTGAAATCTAGTTTAATGTGGACTGCAATGGCCTTTGGCCCTCTCCTTTGGGCCTCAAGCCAAACCCAGGCGTTTCCTGCCTTTGGTTTCCCCCAGAAACCAACCAAGGCTGCCTTGTGTATGTTTTGCGGTTACTAGGCTAGGGCTGCGGCCTTGGAGCCGGTTGCCAGGCGGGAGTAACATGACTGTCCCAGGGCCAACGTGCCTTTGAGGGACTAGGCCGCGTTGCTAAGGGGGGCCTTGGTTACAGCGTCCACTGCGCCCTCCTGGGCCCTCTCAGCCGTTACGCTAATTGCGCGGGACCTCAGATGCCGCATCGTCTCCTTTTCGCTGCGCTTTTTGCGTAGCCTCTGTCAAGAATCGCAGGGAGGGGGTAACGGCTGCCTTTTCCCACTGCAGCCGTTACCCGGAGAACCTTTTCCCGCGCACGCGCGCTCGCTGTAACAGAGAGGGGCCCGCCATCAATCATTCAAACCAACCAACGGGGAGGAGGGAGGGCGTGGCCGAGCCTGTCCCCGCCCCCTCTGGTATAAAAGGAGCGGCCGTTACCTTGACGCAGCCAGTTATTGACAACTGCAGTCGCTGTCGCTGTTTGTCACCGCTGCTCGTCTTCGCGCCTGACTGCTTTCGGCATCCATCATGAGGGAGATCGTGCACCTGCAGGCCGGCCAATGCGGCAACCAGATCGGCGCCAAGGTGCGGGTGATGCGGAAGGAGGGAAGGGAAAGGGAGGGCGGGGAGGGAGGCGAAGGGAGGCCGGGGATGCGGCCCGGCCTTCGAGGCCCGGCTCAAGCGCGCCTTCTCCCTGTCTAGTTCTGGGAGGTGATCTCGGACGAGCACGGCATCGACCCCACCGGCACCTACCACGGCGACAGCGACCTCCAGCTCGAGCGCATCAACGTCTACTACAACGAGGCCACCGGTGAGGAGGGAGGGAGGGAAAGGACCTCTGAGCATGTGCAGAGAGCCCTCGGGATTCCAGAGGAGAGGAGGATGGGCACTGAGCATGTGCAGAGTGCCCTTGGGCATCGAGAGGGGGAAGGGGGCCTCTGAGCATGTGCAGAGCGCCCTCAGGTTTCAAGAGGAGAGATGGGGACTCTGAGCATGTGCAGAGCGCCCTCAGGTTTCAAGAGGAGGGATGGGGACTCTGAGCATGTGCAGAGCGCCCTCGGGCTTCCAAAGCAGAAGAGGATGGGCTCTGAGCATGTGCAGAGCGCCCTCGGGCTATGAAAGGGGTGAGGGATCTCTGAGCATATGCAGAGCGCGCTTGGGTTTCGAGAGGAGGAAGGGGGACTCTGAGCATGTGCAGAGTGCCCTTGGGCTACCAGAGGAGAGGAAGATGGGCACTGAGCATGTGCAGAACACTCTCGGGCTACGAGAAGGGTGAGGGGGGCTCTGAGCATATGCAGAGCGCACTTGGGCTTTCAAAAGAGATGAGGGGGCCTCTGAGCATGTGCAGAGTATCTGAAGGTTTCAAAAGGAGGGATGGGGACTCTGAGCATGTGCAGAGTGCCCTTGGGCTACGAGAGGGGTGGGGTGGGGCTCTGAGCATATGCAGAGCGCACTTGGGCTTTCAAAAGAAATGAGGGGGGTCTCTGAGCATGTGCAGAGTACCTGAAGGTTTCAAGAGGAGGGGTGGGGACTCTGAGCATGTGCAGAGTGCCCTCAGGCTACGAGAGGGGTGAGGAGGGGGCCCTCTGAGCATGTGCAGAGCACCTGAAGGTTTCAAGAGGAGGGATAGGGACTCTGAGCATGTGCAGAGTGCTCTTGGGCTTCCAAAGGAGAGGATTGAGGGGGCCTCTGAGCATGTACAGAGCACCCTCGAGCTTCCAAAGGAGAGGATCGAGGGGGCCTCTGAGCATGTGCAGAGGACCATAAAGTGTGGAGGAGGGAGTGGGGAGCCATGGATTGCTGGTTAGAGGCGTTTTAGGGACACACACCTTGACACCCCTTCAAGGGCACCCCAAGCAGAATAATTATTTTATTTTTAATTTTTTTGTTATTTTTATTATGATTTTATATTTTTATTATATTCATATTTATATAATAATGGCCTGCAGTTATCAGTAAAACAGGTTATACTGAGATCCTAAGAAACTCCATTGTCATTAGGCCATGCCACACCATTGCCAGGTCCAACATAATGTTCAGAGGTAGATGTTTATATTATATATTTTATTATATATATTATTTTGTATACTTATTTAATTTAAATAATGTAATATATAATAAATATATTTATATTTTATTTACTGCATATATTATATTATTATTTATATTATATTAATATATTAAAATATATATTATAAGAAGCCTGCAGTGGCGCAGCAGTATGAACCGCTGCTAAACTTGCTGGCTGATAGGTTGGCGGTTTGAAACTGGGGTGAGCTCCTGCTGTTAGCCCCAGCTTCTGCCAACCTAGCAGTTCGAAAACATGCAAATGTGAGTAGATCAATAGGTCCTGCTTAGGCAGAAATTTAACAAAAGGGTGGATCTTCTGTGTTGCTTTCATTATATTCATTGAATTTTATATTTATTTGTTTTTATTTATCTGCCCTCTTCCCAATATAGGGATCCGAGGCAACTACATTGCACTTGGCATGGCACAATATGCATAAAAACAGCCCCAGTGTGTGTTCAAATGTGAATATAAAAATTAAACAGCGTGTACGTCTGTTGTGTCACAGAGCATGAAAATATTGAAATTGGTTTCAAACCACACCTAAAAAGGATTGTTTCCCTTTGCCATGGCGCCTCTGAGCATGTCAGGAGAGTTGGGGGGGGGCTACCTGCTCAGAAGCAGCAGCAAGGCAGCCTTGGCTCAAGATGGAACCTGCCCTCGGTTCCAGAGCCACTCTGGAACAAGGACAGGCTCCATTTTGAGCCAAGGCTGCCTTGCTTCTGCTGCTGGCTCAGTTGGCATCTGGAAGGTTCCTGCCTTGGCACTGAGACATTACATAGGGTGGGAAGGAGTCTTGTTTTTTTTTTTGCCTCACTCTGCATGCAGTACAGGAGGTGTTTCCTCAGCGATACCCTCCGCTTCCTTCCACAGGTGGCAAATATGTCCCACGCGCCGTGCTGGTGGACCTGGAGCCCGGCACCATGGACTCAGTGCGCTCCGGCCCCTTTGGGCAGATCTTCCGGCCAGATAACTTTGTGTTTGGTGGGTAAACATGACATCGTATGTGTTTGAAGGGTGGTAAAGCCCAGAATGGGAGGGAAGCCTTGGCCCCACAGACCACCTGCTTAGTTGGCATTTAGTAAAGGTTTTCCCTTGACTCTGGGGCTTGATGCCCATCTCCATTTCTAAGCCAAAGAGCCGGCGTTGTCCATAGACACCTCCAAGGTCATGTGGCCGGTATGATTGCATGGCGCGCCGTTTAGACACAAGGAGTTTAATTTTATTTATTTATGACATTTATATGCTGCCCTTCTCACTCAGGAGGGGACTCAGAGCGGCTTACAAGATATATATATGTACAATATATTATATTATTAGCATAGTATAATGTCAGTAGTATATATTACTATATTGTACTATACTATTATTTTGTAATATTATTAGTAATATTACATGTAATATAAAATATATAATAATAATATCTTAGTATTATATTATATTACATTATAATATTATAAATATTGTATTGTATATTATAATATATACTATTATATTATAAATATTATATGTATATATGTATATACAATATGTTATGTTATATTATATTATTAACATATCACAGGAGACAAGGTGGAACTGTCCCCTGCCCCCCCTCTTCACTCTGGCCCAGAGCGGCAGTTGGTGTTGGGAGGAGGGGTCCCCAATTTTACTTTAATGTGGCAGCCTTTAGGAAACTTCCTGTTGGAGACTCCATTCCAGATCCCTTCCCGTTGCCAGGGGAGGTGTGCCAAAGCCCAGGGTGTGTCAGCCTTGGAGAGGAGGGTGGGTCTGTGCCATGCTTGCCAGGATTTGCATGAGCAACTGGGCTTCTGGGCATGAGCTCAGTGACCTCAGCAGAAAGGGCAAGTCTCCTGGTGTTTCTACATTTTCAAAGCTGGCTCAGAATCCCTTTGGAAGTGGCAGAAGGCCCTAATGGGTGTCTCCCCCACTGCCTGTTCCCTTCCAGGGCAGAGCGGCGCAGGCAACAACTGGGCCAAGGGCCACTACACAGAGGGGGCAGAGCTGGTGGACTCGGTGCTGGATGTGGTGCGGAAGGAGGCCGAGAGCTGTGACTGCCTGCAGGGCTTCCAGCTCACGCATTCGCTGGGGGGCGGCACGGGCTCTGGCATGGGCACCCTCCTCATCAGCAAGATCCGGGAGGAGTACCCCGACCGCATCATGAACACCTTCAGTGTGGTGCCCTCCCCGAAGGTCTCGGACACTGTGGTGGAGCCCTACAACGCCACCCTCTCAGTGCACCAGCTGGTGGAAAACACAGATGAGACCTACTGCATCGACAACGAGGCCCTCTACGACATCTGCTTCCGGACCCTCAAGCTGACCACCCCCACCTACGGCGACCTCAACCACCTGGTCTCTGCCACCATGAGCGGCGTCACCACCTGCCTGCGCTTCCCTGGGCAGCTCAATGCCGACCTGCGCAAGCTGGCCGTCAACATGGTGCCCTTTCCCCGTCTGCACTTCTTCATGCCGGGCTTTGCCCCGCTCACCAGCCGCGGGAGCCAGCAGTACCGGGCTCTGACCGTGCCGGAGCTGACGCAGCAGATGTTTGACGCCAAGAACATGATGGCGGCCTGCGACCCCCGACACGGGCGCTACCTGACGGTGGCGGCCGTCTTCCGAGGCCGCATGTCCATGAAGGAGGTGGACGAGCAGATGCTCAACGTGCAGAACAAGAACAGCAGCTACTTTGTGGAATGGATCCCCAACAACGTTAAGACAGCCGTCTGCGACATCCCACCCCGCGGCCTCAAGATGTCGGCCACCTTTATCGGCAACAGCACCGCCATCCAGGAGCTCTTTAAGCGCATTTCGGAGCAGTTCACGGCCATGTTCCGGCGCAAGGCCTTCCTGCACTGGTACACGGGCGAGGGCATGGATGAGATGGAGTTCACCGAGGCCGAGAGCAACATGAACGACCTGGTCTCCGAGTACCAGCAGTACCAGGATGCCACCGCCGAGGAGGAGGGCGAGTTTGAGGAAGAGGCTGAGGAAGAAGCCGCCTGAGGCCTGCTTGCTGCCTGTTGGACTTTATTTGTCTCACGCTCGTTTTTCCTGTTACTTTACTGTTCTGCTCTCCCTCTGTGTCACCTCTCTGATGTTGTACAGGCATTAAAAGCATTTTTACCCTGCAGGCTGTCTCCGCAGCAGTTCGTCATAATAAGCTTTGCGGGTGCTGTTTCCAAAGGTTAGAGCATAGTTGTGCCTGATGGCTGGGGAAAAAGAAGATGGGAGAGGAGTCAGTGGGTATCTGTGCCCAGGCTTGTTCTGCCCGGCATGTGGCAACATGGCCGCCAGGGAGGGGAGAGGAGCGCAAAGAGCCTGGAATTTGCTGCGTTGTTCTGCCAAAAGGAAGAGGACAAAGGTGGGCAGGGACACTCTTTGGAGGGGAAGGAAGCCAGG